GAGAGTGAAAACCAGAGAGGCAGAGTGGAGCTGCTGACTTGTACAGAAAAAGAAAATGGTGAAACAGGCAAAGGAGTAGAGCAATACTAAACAGGGCTACATTCATCTGGAGCTGCTGCACTTACTTGTTAGTGCCCTCTGTGGTCACGTGCTAGTTCTCAGGCCCACAAACCATTAATATACTGGCAAAAATCATGTGTGAACCAATGCTACTTCTCTGTCATAATGACATCCTTCCCCTATCTGCCAACCACTGGTGAGCAAGTGCACATGACAGCGACCAGTCTGCCCTGCCTCCTCCAGACTTCCTCACAGCAGTTATGGTGCCCTAAAGCACTGCAGCAGCTACCCAGAAACATTTATGAAGTGCACACATATGTGCAGACACTGTGCTAACATGATGCAGAGGATACCCAGAGAAGCAAGATTTGTAACCTCTGAAAAAAAGCAAGAGTGACAGACGAGCAAATTGATGTGAGAAAATTGTCAGGAAAGGGAGATATACATGGTTTAATAATCATTCCAGATGTTGTACCTAGAACACTTCTATGTGTTGACTTGGAAAGTGATTGTATGGCATCATTAGGTACAAAAACTTGAAGTTTAAAGCTGTTTGAATTCATAATCTGCCTCTCCTGGGAAACCTTAACCAAGTTACTCTACACTCCATGTGTCTGTTTTCTACAAGATAGAGCTAATAATAACCAGACTTGTCTCTCATGTTGAAGAATAAGTGAAATAATGTGTGTGAAGCACTTAGCACAGTTCCAATAACTCCCGAACTGATTGCCTCCCTCCGCTACAGACCAAAGCATCTTGAAGGCAGGAAATGAACAGCTTTTCATCTTTGCTTTCAGTGCCTGGCATGTAATGGGTACTTCATGATGCTCTGTTGAACAATGGGTATGAATACAACATTTTAGAATTGCCAAGGAAATTCTCTTTTCTTTACTCCTTTTGATCCTCACAATAATGTGAAGGTAGCAGACTTGGCAATGGGACCTGGTTTCCTGACAATGATCAAGCCTCAGAGAAAGTAGGTGATTTGCCTAAGGTAAGATCACACAACTAGTTAGCAGCACAGCGAGGGTGAGCATCCCAGCCTGGGAGCCCCATGCGTTCTGACCTACACCATGGCCACGTACGTGCCCACGGAGCCCTGGGCAGCGAAGGACTGGACTAACCCACTCACATCTTGCAGTAAGGTATCTAAATGCAGTTTCTAACTCTGACACTTCGGTGTTTCTCACATCTAAAATCCCATTAGCACAACACGCCTACAAAATACTCATACATGAGACAAGATATGGTTATTTTTAAACTGCATTTCAAACCATTATGTGTGAGGAGGTGTATTTTTGGAGTGCTGACTTTAACTGTACAACTATGATGGTCAAATCACGCTGTAAGTGGCACTAACTTGGGAGGGCATGACCCTCAGAAGGAGGCCTCAACCTTCATTCTTTCCCAGTAGGGGCTGGGTGTTGGAGGCCACCCACACAGTTAACACCAAGTACCCCAAGAAGAGTCAAGAAGTAGGGAGCATGGTTGGCCCACATTTGGCTATTAAAGCAGCAACTTCATACTCCAAGAGCGGGTATGGAGATTTTCTTGTGAGAGAGCATCTGGTTAAATAATACACCACTGAACACAAAAGTCCCATAAAGACAAAGAATACCAATATGATTTCTTTTTTTTTTTTTTTTTT